TACAATCTGATAAACTTTCCTGTTCGTACAGGGCACAGAGGGGCACCCAATCCCCACCCATATGTAAATTGAGACAACCATATCTTTCGTGAACATACTGCTCTTGTTTCGAATTATTGGTACTCTCTTCTTCTTCTTCGTCTTCTTTTTTTTTTCCCCCTAAATCTTTCACAAAAATTGCCGTTTAACACGGTCGAATTATTGGTACCTAGGAAAATGGCTTCCGCGTCAGGCCCAGCACGCAATTGGTCCCCTCCCCCGCCGGCCTAGTTGGTTTTCAAGTTCCGTGGTCTCGCCTTGGGTTTTCCAAGAAATGCACCGTACTTTAAGATCCTTTCTTGGTCACTTCGGGCTTGGATTCGCTCAAGCGTTTTAAGTATTTTACTTCTTGGTCAATTAATTTTAATGAAAAGAGTAATAAATCAAAATCTTCCCTAACTATTACTACCATTTTTTTTCCCTTTTATTTTTTTTGGGATAATATCAGAAACCTCCCCTTAGGTTTCTCTTAATATCACCTAATACCCCTAAGGTTTCAAAAATATCACTTACCTCCCTTACTTTAGTTATTTGTGTAACAAAATTTTTAAAAACCCTAAACTACCCATTCACTTACTAAATAAAAATGTTTCTAAGTCACTTTGTTCACTTCAAGAAAACCATCACTTCAAAAGCAATCTCTTGTAGTACTATTACATCACAATGCTATACCCCATAAAAATATAAATTTGAAAAATAAAAATGATATTTGAAAAGAAATACATTTGTATCAATTTAATTCGATATGTTCAAAATCGATTTCTTATGAATTTATATTTTTTCCACCATATTCTTAACCCTTGCTCAAACCAGTAAATTATACCAATTATTATAAAAAAAATCAACTCAAAATAAGCAAATAAATAGTACCCTACTTTATCACAATCACAAAAAGTAAAAGATAAATAAAATTTAATTTGTTATAATTTATAATATAATATTGCATATTCATTCAAAAAATATGAGTAAGAGAGAATGATGGAGAAAAGGGAAAAAGAAGTAAGTGACTTCCATTTTTTTTTTTAATTTTGAGTTTCATTTATTTAATATGTTGTAAATTATGTGTTAAGTGAGGGTTAATATAGTCTTTTTATAATTATTAGTGGGGAGGTAAGTGATATTTCTAAAATCTCAAGGGTGCTAAGTGATATTAAGAGAAACCTCAAGGGAGGTTTCTGATATTATCCCTTTTTTTTTCTTTCGAGGTTGAATGTACTAAAATTTAATCGTAGATGGCCATTTTGACAGGGACCATTGCAAATCAAGTCTGAATTCCCTTTCAAGTTTGCCCTACCGTTTCTGATGGAGGCTGTAGCGCTAAGATGAGTCAATTTGATACAATCTGAGGATAGTAAGGCCCGAATCTCATCCGGAGGATCCGATAATAATTTGAGCTCAAACTCATCTACTCTGGAACCTCTGCGTGGGAACAGAATTTCTCATTAAAATTGAAGAATTCTGGTATTGGGCCTTAAGTTTTCCAAGAAGCAAAGTAAACACCGCGGTGGGAAAAATTGGGCTGGGCTCATGCAGGTGAAGAGACCCACTCATTGAGAAGTCCACTGACTCTAATAAGATTCGAAAAGAGAAAGAGAGCGAAAATTGGGTACCCGACGGCCCATTCTTGCTGCTTTGAAGACAACCAACAAACCATTGGGCCAATAGCTCAGTGGCCACCAGAGAGAGATTTAAGTCCCTTTTTGGGCTGCAGGTAAGGGTTCGAATTTCACTTGCAGCGAAAAAAATCTAAGGGCTGTGTCATAGCACTCTCTTAGTCTAGTTGGGTCTGTATACCCACTAGCTCCTACGACAGCCTCCTTAGGCTCCCCCTCCCCCTTAGATTAGGCAATTGGGATCATCGGTGACATGTTTTCTGTACCAATCCAATGCCACCTATAATATTGCGCCAAGTGTCCTGTTATTATTTACACTTGTGTTAAACCAAACCAAGTTGAATTATTAGAAAATTAAAGTGTAAATAATAACAGGACACTTGGCGCAATATTATAGGTGGCATTGAATTGGCACAGAAAACATGTCACCGAGGATCTCATGCATAGATTAGGATAGAGTAGGGTATACAAATGTATCATTGCTGACAAAAAAAAAGAAGAAGAAGACAACCAACAAATTTGATGCGGACATATGATATAATTTGACATGCAACGACGGATCTTCTGTCTCACATTCTGTGCTATTTTCTGTCTCACTTTTTATTATATTGTTATTTTTCCTTCATAAACATCATGTTTTAATTTTTTTTTGTTTTCTTAAGATCTAATAACTATTAATATTTTGACATCACAAAAATTCTCACCCTCACTTTTTAATATTTTGTATTTATCTGACACAGAGCATCATATTATCACTAAATTGATAATAAAATCATCTAAATCATATGCATAGTTGCCTAATAAACCTTAACTATCTCATCCAAATAACGACGGTCCATAATCCATTATTTGAACTTTTTGAGAAGCATCCCTTTTAAGTTTTAACACCGTCGAAAAAGTTTGCTCTCACATATAATATAGAGGCTATAAAAGGAACCTTAATTTCCTAGTTCCTACCGACTCAACTGAAACTAGGCGCCCTTCACAGTGGAATCACTTTTGCTAGCCGAATCTCCCCTTTGGAGGGCCACAAACCAAGACACGTAGAAATCCACCCTTCACATATGCATTTCCAAAGCAAAGCATCCGATGCAATGCCTTGCGCGGATGATCTCCTTGGGACAGATATCCTATAGTCTATATGTGAGATGCATTGCGTTGGAATATTATTCAAGCTTTTTCACCACTGTACCTACCAAACAAAGCTATTAATATATATATTCAAGAAACTCAACATCTTGGGTATAGTCTATATAGGTAGGAATACGGAAAAAAAAAAGAAGGATAATAGTAATACTGATAGAATTAGAAAGCTCACCCGCACCCACATATCTTGTTGCAGCAGGAAGCTTTCAAGGTCCACAAAGTACTCCATTTTCTACTGACTTGTGTTAATCAAATTGTTGGAGAACGAACTCATTTATTTATTTATGTTCATGGACACAAGGATTAAGGGCAACGCAGTAGAGTATGTCAAGGGGTTTCGATTTCAGGTTGCGCGACAAAGCATTTTGTGTTGAACATCATCATCCAAATTCCAATAATCCAAACACCCCCCCCCCCCCACTACCTACCTACTTCCCATGAGGAAAACATCAAAAGACAAACAAAAGAGCATAATAATCATCAAACCAAAGGTGCAGCACAATTTAGCACTGGTACGAGGTACACGCCTTCTGGATGTTCGATGGAGCTAGGCCCTGGGGTTACGTTAGCTTGAAAGAACACTTCTTCATCTGATCACCACATGATGATTCCCATGTTCTTGGAAAAACCTTGATGTTAAGGCTTGAGGGTACATATATGTATATATAAAGGCCTTGCATATATACGTTTAGAAGGCACAGTAAAACTCAAGGACTAGCTTCAACTCATTCACACCTCTCCTTCATAATTAATCTGCACCCTATTCTCTATTGCAAGTTTGGAACTGCAATTGCCGTTCACCACCGTAAGCCTTGATTGATCTTTATATATATATCTCTTCCAAATCGAAAAATATTTTTATTTCATGCTACAGGGAAGAAAATGTGCTTGGCTAGAGAATTTCTCTCCATGTCAAAACCCAAACCTTCTCATTTTCACTAATAGTGCCTGTCTTTTAATTATTTTCCATGTCATCATCTTTTTGCATCTAAATATTGTAGAAAGTACTCGTAGTATTTCTATGCATTTTATTAAACTATTTTTCCCACATTGGTGTCAAAAGATGAATCCCAAAATAATTCTATGAAATACTGCTGTTTTCATTCGGCCACTATTGGCAAACAATATATCTTTTCTTAAATCATTTGGTATTTCCTGTTGATTCTTTTGCTTTATGACTAATACACCTTTGAAGGTAACTTGCCTTTTACCCTTCAGATTTTAATTTTGCTTTGTCTTTTATTCGTTTTCACGTGCAATATATATGTACATTTCTAATACGAAACCTCTTAGTTGAAAGTAATTTAACGCTTTCTCATTGCCATCTTCTTGGCTATCTGTTTCTATCTTGTATTATACTGTCTACAAATAGGATCAATATAAGTGGACAGTATATGCGTTTCTACTCATGGAAATCACAAAGCTCGGATGTACATTTTCCCTTTTGTTTTTAACGTGATACATATTTTGGAATTCCAAAAGGGGACAACAAAAGCTAGGCCAAGGGGGCATTACTTATATTGGGTCTGTTTGGATTGTAAGTTATTTGGGATTATTTGGGATATTTTTACTGTAGCACTTTTTGTGATGTGATGTATGTGAGATAAAAAGATATTGGGAAGATAAAAAAGTGTATTAAAAATTGTAAAGATGATGTAAGCAAATAAAATTGAAGAAATATGAAGCAATGCAAACAAACCCAATATATGCCCCCCTATTGCGGCAAGGTCTTGTAAGGACTCAATGGGGTTAAAAAGTGAATAATTTGCAGGCAAATTGTCTCGAGGAGTGGTTTAGTCTACCAAACAAACGACGACTAATTACATCTTGAACCATACCCTCTGCACAATGAGAAAGTAGTACAGTCCACAGTACACAATAATTAGCTCGAAGCATCACACGTTATATGCGTGAATTTTTATATTTTTAGTTTTTGTGTAAATGATTATTATATGTGTATTAACTTCCGTATTCTGTCGGATCTATGCCTTTTCATTTCTGATTGAAGAAACCACATTTAATGCAAAGTACATATTGGCTTCTGATAATTGTCAGCATCACAGCAGACACAGGGCATTGTTTTATACGGCTCTGTACACATCAAGATTTAATTTTCAGTTAATACGGTTTCACGCGGTTTGTGGGATCATCAGAAAAAAAAGACTCAAAAGGTTCTCTCCACCGAATGACGCGTAACTTGTTTAATGCTCCAATACTTAAATCCATAATTTCCTCCATGCCCAAAATTCGCTTCTCCAACCGAGGCCATATCGTCTTCTTTTTGGACTTCCTTCTTTCTCATTTTTCTTCTTCTTCCGCCCGTCTTCTCTGTCATACTAGTTCAACAATACAGTAGTATTTTCTTCTGTTGCATCCAAATTGAAGAAGAAACAGAAGAAGAAAGAAGATGTGGACTGCTATCTTGCTATTAGTGCTTCTTTTCGTTGCTGGTTTGATCAGTACAAACTTCAATAGAAAGAAGTTTCTTGCATGGTTTCAATCTTATTGTGCTAAAATCAGAAACCCTTCTTCGCATGCAGCAAACAGCTTTGACTTTTTGGAGACAAAGTCTGGCAAGAAAGTGGATAAAAGAAGAAGTGCTGATAACAAGAAGGTTCAGCTAGGAAGTATTTTTGCTACTTTTGACAAGAACAATGACGGATACATCACAAAGCAAGAGCTAAAAGATTCACTTAACAATATTGGGATGGGCATGACTGAGAGTGATATTGCAGATATGGTTAGAAGGGTTGATTCGAATGGGGATGGATTGATTGATCTTGAAGAGTTCTGTGAGTCTTTTGATTCGTTGATCGGTAGAGGAGAAATGAACGAGGAAGAACAGGAGAGAGACGTCACTGATGATGAGGATGAGGAGGTGAGTAGGGAGGATGAATTGAAGGAGGCTTTTGCTGTTTTTGATGGAAATAAAGATGGGTTGATAACGGTGGAAGAACTGGGGCTGGTCTTGTCCTCCTTGGGGTTTAAAGAGGGGAAGAAGTTGGAAGATTGTATAGAGATGATTAGAAAAGTAGACGTGGATGGAGATGGCATGGTTAATTTTGACGAGTTCAAGAGGATGATGAAAGCTGGTCATCGGCTTCTTCCAGCTTCCTGAAGAATGAGTCTTTTTGCTTCTGTTCTTTCTCCTAAATCCATCAAGGTTAGGAAAGAATTTTAACTTTGTTCAATCACTCAACTGCAATACCCCTCCTTTTCTTCTCAAGACTGTACAGGTAATTGGACGTATATCATCCTCCTTACGGTTAGGTTTTAGCACTAGCGCTTAGGCTTCTAGCAATACCTACTGCCGAGTTTGCTGTTTGAAACATAGGTGAAGAATCAAGTTTAGCAAACACATGGCAGTTGGATGGATCACCATTGAAGTCTCTGCTTCTCCTGTCTATCCAGATTCGAAAGTTTTTCCTTTCTGCTGAAACACTGACTGTCTGTCCAAGTCATGGTTTTAATTCACATCTGATATCTGTAAATTCTTTGTTTCTTTGGCTGATGTTGGCGGTTTACTACCATTACAAATAAGCTAAAATCGTGAGTACAAACAGCAAAGATGTCGGTTTTTCCAGAACTCCGTAGACCAAAACTATCTGAATTAATCCACAACGAGCGTCGGTTATAGCATAAATGGTCAAATCTTACTGTTTACAACCTACTCCAATTACGTGTCAAACGATTTCTCCCACCTCCGCCTCTGAATTAATAGCATGCCACCCCCATATCCACATCTGTTCTCTCGAACTTGAAGTGCATCAAGTAGTTGGAAGTTAACCAAGAACGCTTCAATATTTGGCTCCAAATTATTTGATTGTATCGTAAATATATAATTTTCAACTCACTTTTTTATTCTTCCAATCACCATTTTATCTCTCATACATATTATTATATTATAAAAAGTGTTACGGTAATTATTTCAAACAATCTCCTATCCAAACACACAGTCTGTTATCCAGGTTAATTTACCGGAACGAACGCAACCGTCATTCTTGCTGACTTGTTGCAGCGCTGGTGCCTGGGGGGCTCTATTTGTATTTCTACGGTCGGAGTTGTAGCCAGGATGGGTGAGGATTGGCCTGAGGAACTGAGGAGCTGGGTGAGGATTGGGCTTTTAGCAGTGCACTGGTTTTTCCGCTGCTCTTTCCTATCAGTTACTTAGGAAGTAACTAGGACGCAAAGCATCTTTAGTTCCAACAACAGATATTGGAGATAGAATATGTTCTCATCGAGAACCACCCCGAATCCATATTGTTCAAAAAGTGGTTGAACTCATACGCTGTTCGGGAATAAGATCAGTTACCATGAGAAGAAGCCAAGAATCTAACAACCAATGGTGGAAATGCAAGGCTGTTAGCCAGTACAACTGACTCCGGTGCGATCCTCAACAGGATTCCGGTTCCAGCAACCAATGAACTCAAGCAACAGTCCCAAAAAAAAAAAGAAGAAAAATAAATAAATATGATTGAAATTCAGAAAAGCAGTAGAAGAAATAGAGAGTGAAGGAGCCAAGCGCACGTGCATCAATTGTTTCCGAGAACAAATAGCAGTTCTCACCACCTCTCGTCGAATGAGCAGATTATCGGATCACATATTTAGCCTCGGTTTGTTCGAAGAAACTACCAGACGCACACGTACATACCAGCATGACACAAATTCAGATTGTGAGAGATCAAAAAGACGGCCCTTGCAGGAAAATCAAAATAATGTCGAGATCTTATTAAAACAATCTCAGGAAAACGATCTACAACTTCCACAAAGGGAGTACATCTCCTTCCTCTGCTTTTTCTCACAACATAATCAAATATATGTGACAAAGATCTTTAAAAGACATCAGGGTTAAAGCGTCCTGGAATTGAGTTATTTTGCTGAGCCTGCTTGAGGTGCATTGAAAGAGCATAATTATTGACCTGATGAACATGAAACCATCAGAGAACTATCAAATGGCCTCAAAATGAAACTAAGCCTCAGTACGCTAGAAACGCAACAGCAGAAAACAATTCAAAGATACAACCAAGAAACTATGCAGTCAAAATTGCATAAGAACACATAGGTAAAAGCCTATTTCAAGGAAACCATGTGGGACTCAAGTTCAAGGAAATTTTGGGTTAAAAGATTTCCTGCAGAAAAAGTTTTGAACGTAAACAATCTAATTTTCCCTCTAAAAGTAACTGCATGCGTTTCTCATTTTATTCTTAATTTTGGGGATTCTAAAGGAAATTTTTGCTCCGGATACTTTAAGTAATAGCTTTTTTAAAACCAATACAAAAAGTTGGGCAATCTCCATGTCGAGGATTATTTACTGTTCCAAAGTAAAGTGATGAACCAACACATAACCAGCTTCATGGTAGCCAACATTTGAAGTGGCGCAACTATTCTATAGAATCATCGTCACATTTAAGATGTAACAGATGTGGCTTGCAGCCTGGAAACATTTGTGCTCACAAAGAAAGTTTCTTTTACCACTTTTTTCTGACTTATGTCAGAGAGATGGCACGGCCCTCATTTCCATGAGCAATAGACTGGATAACACCAGGTAAGGTAAAGTGCTTTCTGCTAGCCGAGTTTGTAGAGCAAAAGAAAGTTTATCATTGCAATATGTGGTACTGTAGCTCTATGCTTATTTCGGATAAGCGAGGGAAAAACCACCTGGCAACTGAAGGAGCAGTGTCTACTGTCCTACAAGGGGAAGAGGAAAGGAGGGGTACTCTTTTTTTTTTTCCTTCTAATTAAGTTAACAGCTTATTATTAAAAATAAAAAAAAAAAGGGAAAAGTTAACAGCTTGTCTCTAACAAACATGTGGAGGAAAAACTCTCTAGTAAACAGATGGTGATATGTAGTCTTTCAAAATATTGGGTTGCTCCTGCTTCATGCCAAACAAATTAGAGATACTTTCACTTTTTAAACAACAAAGCAATCCGCACACGATAAAGGCTTCATGCAGTTAAACACAGAATTGGACGATATACACAAAATTATTGAATTTTGCAATTACCTCTAGTGTTCTGAGCTGCTCCTGGTACTGAGCCACCAGCTGCTTTAAGTGATGCAACTCCTGACTCCTGTCATCAAACTCCTTCTGTCGCTCATGTTGAATAGAAACTGCTCTCTTCAAAACGTTGTTTTCCTGCATCAGTGCCTGAAGCTGTTGCTTAAGCATAACATTCTCCTACAGCATCACATAAGCAAAAGAACAGGTCTGAGAACCAGATATAATTTACTTGTACAGATCTGTGGGCCAACAAAATCAATTAAAAGAAATGAAGCAAAAAACAAAAAGGCCACAGCCTAAAATGTCTACTTGCAAGAACAAAAAAACTGAGACCAAAGAATGCACAGAACAAGAAAGTGACAATCCAACAGTAAGCATAAGTAGATAAAACACCTGCTGAAAGCTCTGGGCTGCCTCTACAGTTGCATGTACACGAATGGACTTCTCCAAAACTTCGAGAGTCCTTGATGCACGAGCTTTAGCATCATCTATGTTTGAAGCACTCATCATTTCTCTAACAAAGTGCTCAACCCATTCTGCTTTGTCAATGGAGTGCTTTTCTGAGGCTGATGCATCCTGCACAGAGGCAGCCTCCCCGTTGCTTATTGCACAACCTGCAAAAGAAGATGCATGATAAATATCCCTTCTAGGCCAAAACTTGGGTAGACCTGGTCTACAAAGGCCTAGTGGGCCAGATTGTGCCACACCACTTGGTGAGATGGTGTGGCACAATCTGGGCCATTGGGTCTTTAAAGACCGGGTCTACTAAGTGTGAGCCTTCCTTCTATGATTGAGCAAGGAAGATTCTTGTGTTTGTCTTTGACTGTTTAGTACAAATATAGGTAAAAAAATTAGCTGGACACAAACAAGTACTTACAAGATTTACATTCTTTGGCATCAACGTGATAAATAACAATAAAAAAAGATCCAATAGGGCTTTTTTCCCCCTCCGTTAAGGGGTGGGGGGGGGGGCCTTTGGGAGAAACAAAATGGATTTTAGGTAAATTGTTATGAAAAATACCAAGTATCAAGACCTACATTTATCTGGGAGTTGGACATGGACCTCCTTTGCATCATTGCTTGCAGCAGATTCCAAATTCTCCATAGAAGTCAACCGAAGCTCATTTAGGCTCCTAATAGCAGAGTCCAAATCATTACTACATTCTTCAAGTGCTCGCTCAAGTAGCTGTCAATTAAAAGCATTAACAAGAAGTTGTTAGTTGCTAATGACCAAGCTCTTACTCTTCTGGCAATGGAATAAAATTTAAACAACCAGGCACACAACAGGTATCAGCAACAACTGAAACAGCAAGCGCTAGAAGTTTATGAACACTAGCATATCAATTATTAGAAGTTGGGTCATCAGAATGCTAACAGATTCTAAATTTCAGTACAGAACAAACTTGCAGATAATTGGGTTGGCCATGTTCGTAATTTGTCAGACTAAATTCAAATAAGGTCTTGCTAATGCTTCTTGTTAAAGATTGGCTTACAACATAGATACATGGCACTTGTAAAATATATAATGTGTATCATTTCAATGCACTGAACTTCATGTCATTTCTATAACAATTGGTTGCAACACCCTAAAATCTTATATTCTGCTGGCAAAGTGTAAGAGTTAATGCGAGCAGATGTCAAACAAGAAAACCAAAAAGAAAAAAGACAGTGCAAGTGCAGTAAGGAAACTAAAACCAAATTATACTACAAACCCCAAAAGAATGAAACGTGGTCATCAAACAATAAATTGAGACCATTCTGAAACCTAAACATCAAAAAGCTATCCATTACCTCAAACAATCCATTGGCACTCAAATATATCTTTAAAGTACATGAACTAAAAGAAAAAATCCACTTTGAAGGTAACATTCAATGAGAATTCTAATAAATTGTTGCAAAACCCACATTATATATGCAAAAATCATAAGATTTCTCACCATATCCAGTTCCTAAGGTAGTGTGACTGCTTTAAGCTTCAATAACTTCATTTAAGAGAATGCTTCATTTGTCAAAAGATTTAGTTGGTTCAATTAAACTTAAATACCATCATAAGAACTTTAAATGGTAATAACTTCTTAATTAGGAATTGTTCAAGTAACAGTTAATAACATGTAAAAACTTCATCCTTGAGCACAAAGTGTGACTCTTATTTAGTGGGTCTGCGCCTATATCGTAAGTTATTGATCTGAGTTGGTTATGCCATTTAAACATTCTCTAGGGACATATCGAAACAAAAGTGTGAGATGTGCATTCGTTAGGCCAACAATCTCTTCCAAGAAAGATTGGAACTTGTTAGGTTTTAGAATTACCATATGTTACTTATTTTGCTTAAGAAATTAAAAAATCCCACAAGTAGTTTCCTTCGACCGTTCAACTTGGACAACTTTTTGGTATAGCATAAGAAAAAAGTGCATTACTTTGACACAGTAGTTGCACGGTAGAAAAGGATGTCCTCTAGCAACAAACATAATATTTCCGTCTTCAATCTATTAGAAGTACTCTTAACATGCACAAGAAGTCACCACTATAATCACTTCAATTACCACTATTGGTCCTAGATCTAACTTAAAAACTTGAGGCAACATGAGAGCTTGTTAAAACCTTAAAGGACACGTTGGTCAATGGTCGTCCAAATATTTGGGACCAGTCTACTCTTACTTCCCAGCTGCTTCGCTATCCGGAATTCACAAACTTCCACCACTCAGTAGAATGGCATGGGCATGGTATAATATGGATTTTTAGCAATTTATGTATTGTTTGTAATCTAATAACTTACAAGGGATATGATAAACAAAAGCATGCGATTTTAAAACTCCACTACTAAAAAAACAAATCACAGCCAGCTAGAATCTCAGACAAAAATGATTCCATCCTTGGTCCTCCAATTCCATTGAGTGAAGGCCCCAGCCTAATCTGCATCCCCCACTACCCTTCCACACCTCTTATCATAGCTTCCCAACGCAGTGGGCTTAGAAAGTGCAATCCTTTAGAAGACACATTTCCCAGCACAGGGTCTCCTTAAAAAGCAAGTTGAACATACCAGCCTCACAAACTTCCAAACAGAAGTATCTTTCAGCATCATCTCCGCATATCAAGTGCATTAGATGAATCTAAAAGCCTCTGTCTGAAGCATTTAAGCTAGTTCCCTGTCAACAAAAATACTAATGAAAAAATCTCTATTTTGTTCAACGATGTATTCACCTCATATTTGTAGCTCCCAATCATGACAGGCAATACCTTCTAACTAAACTCACATCACTAATTAACACCTATATAAACCTGATTATCATGAGACGAACGAACTAAGTTAGGAATCACAGCAATGATGAGAGCTAGTACTCGTTAGCTAAGCCAAATTACATATTAAAATAAAGGTTATTTTAAGTTAAAGCATTTGGAAATTACAGACAAAAAAAGCAGGAAGAAATGGAAATTAACCTGTTTGTCCATATCGGGGAAGAGGCCAATAAGATGATCAAGGGCCGAAGAATTAAACGAAACACCTGTAAATAAATTAGCAGAAAAATAGGAAGAGGAGGCTCCTCCGGCGGCGGTGGACCGAGGCGGAGAAAATCTAACAGGCGAAGAAGATGAGCAGCGAATTCTCTTGGAAACGGGCGGCGGCGATGTCGAAGAAGGTGACGATTGCAAATCCTCAAAGAAATTCGATCTCTTGCCGCACAATATTGCAGACATGTTGTGCCGCCTCAATCTCTCAACTCTAGTCCTACTCGTCTGCTCTCACCTCTCCTAACCTATGCCTCTTCCTCCTCCCCCTCTTCTCTCATGCAGCAGATTCTTACAGATCCACCACCACCACCACCAATTTTTCCCTAAAAATTTCACAGCTTTTTAGTACTGATACTTTTTTTTTTCCTTTTTTAATTTTTACCACATAATCTCTGTATTCCTATTTTTTCCTTACTATCAGGAATCAAAGAACAAATTAAATTCATAAATTACAGATACTTAGAAATGAAATTTGGCGTCAAGTAGGTGAGAGATTAGGCATGCAGTGATTCATGGATTCTGACTCGGAACCTATCAAACTTTCTGACATCGAGTTTATATACGAGACGCCGGTGATTAAAGTGACATGCTGTTTGGGTAGTGACGGCAGTTTTTGACTTGGAAAGTGCCACGGAGGTGCCAACTATGGTTGTTTTGTTAAACACGTTTGATGTCTATTGGTTGGTTAGGGAAGCCTGCGTGAGGATAACGGCGGGATTTCCTGGCTTAGTTTTTGGCGTTACGTTTTTGGTTGCTGAAATCGTCGAAGTTTTTTTAAGAAACAGATCCTCGAGTTCAATGGCTGCCGAATAAAGAAGAAATGTGGCGGAATTTATATGGTTTTATTTAGATCCCATGGGTTCTCCGATATTTTAGTAGAAATCATATATATTATATAAAAACTCGATCTGATTCGACGTTGAACCAATCAACCCAGCGAACTGAATTGCTAATTAAATCAGTTAAGCAAAAGAGTCGTTTATTGCCCAACGATCTGACGATTTAATCGATGAATCGAAAAAAACTATCAACTAAATAGCAGACTGAATCACTAACTTAAAAATTTTACTTTTTATAATTTAAAATTTATTATTATATTATATAATATAACTATTGTACAACTCGCGATTGCACCAATAGCCCATAATCCGATCACCTCTCCGGATTGAACTCTGGATCGAGTTTAATAACTATAGTAAAAATTAATATGTTTTCTATTTTTAATGATTTTTAAAAAAAATCTAACATTATTGTCTTTAGTTAATTTAATTTGCATTTGTAATATTTTAACAGTTATTGTTATTGAGTCAAGTGGACTCTCAAAATAGGGGAAAAAAGAATAAAAGGGTCATCCTAGTTGTGTCTAAATCCACTAGGACTTGTTTGGATTGCAGTTTTTCGTCGGAAAATTATGTTATTTTTCGTGATCACATTTCCCTATTATATTTTTTCATCACTTACATCAAATCGCTATAGTATTTTTTCCATGAAAAATACAATTTAAACACAACCTATTTTCAAATAGTTGATAAATCAATTCCAAAACAAGTTGTTATTTATGTTCAATCATTTGCACTTTTATTTACTCGACGAAAATCGTTTGGGGGAAATCGGAAAGGATGTTTAAATTTAATACTCAGAACTATCAAACCGTGGACAATATGCATCTAAATCAAATTACAAGTTCTCAACCTAAAGATGATATTTCTTAGCTGCCCATCAAATCTATATGGAATCTTTGAACAAATTTTATACGGCCACCCTTCCGTTTGGGCAACGACGGCTCTAGTTAGTCACCAGGCAAGCATTAGCGTGGTAAAATGGCAAGGTTGAAGGCAAGTGACGGTTGTTACTAACAGCTGTTTCGAGCGGTTCTCAATCTAGAATATGTCAATTAAGATGCCAGTTCAAAATGTAAAATTCAAAACGTTGCAGGAGTTAAGAGTAGTCTGCCTCCCAAGTTAGAGAGAAGGAGAGACAACTATTATACCTGTAAATACTAAAAGCGCTGATGGCGTAATAATTATAAGGAAGCCAACCCTTGTCCAGACTCATTGACAAAGAAGTACAACGAGCAAGAGGTTCTTCTTATCCGCCTCATTTCTTTAGTAGGGGCTTAACTTTAACTTGGATGGCTGTACTCAACAACCCTTAATTGCTTCATTTTGTTTGCTGTTAACTTAATTCCTCTATTTATCGAGAAAAAAAAAAAGGAACAGGCCTACATAAACAATAACTAAATATAACATCACAATTATTATAAAATTGTATAAAAAAAACTTCGATTGTGTTTGGATTGCATTTTTCATGATTTTTCATGAAAAAATTACTGTAACGATTTGATGTATGTGAGAGAAAAAAGTAATAGGAAAATGTGATCACGAAAAACGACGTAATTTTTTGACGGAAAACAGCAATCCAAACAAGAAATTCGACTATTATGGCTCATGCAGTGTTAAACCTTTCAAGAGTGATTATCAAATGCATGATACTTCTGCACATCAATTGCACTTTCCCAGAATTAGATCAGTTGTAATGCTCGTCTGTTCAAAGTATACATGCGCAAATTCGACTATTTGGCTTGCAACATTTGTCCTTTCTTTCTTGAGCCTCCCAATATTTTGGAAGACAAAATGAAACATACGTCTAATATAATACACCAAAAAGATAAGGAGAAACATGTAAACCTTATCCATGTTGGTGACTGTACTTGAGAAGTCATAACATATGCTGGACTTGGTAATTTTTCCGATGGAAATAGACAATAATGGACAGTGTATTATTTGAAATAATTATTGTAGCATTTTTTGTGATAAAAGTACTATCCAAACAATCAATGTTTTAGCGTGACAAAGTTTTAGCTTGAAAGAAATTTATGCTATATTAGCTGAACGAGAAGTAAAGTCATTCAATTGAATGCAAGACTATCACAACATTCTTTACAAAATTTGCAGGGTTTCTTGAGTGTTTATCCAATTATACACGCGGTTCTGAGACTTTTTACCTCCAAGGGTTAATCCCTGTTTGCCATGAAATGACCATCAACTTTAAGTTGGGTGCACCATGCAGCTGGCTGCATCCTCTTCTCTCTCTCTCTCTCTCTCTCTTTTCAAAACAAAAATCCCCAGGCAGTACATTGTCCGGCATGGGGTAGGGCCTAGAACTGGTCCTACGACTTAGTGGGGCAAATATTCATCACTCGTCACCTTTCCAGCAAGGCACGGTCAAGTTACGAATTGCAAGAGCAGTCGGCAACATGATAAACCAAGAAAGAGAAAGGAGGTTTAAAAGAATGGCATAATATCAAAAAGCTCCACTGAAGTTTCTCTTAATAGCCCTTAGCCCCGTAATTTTTTACAAATATCACTTACATCCCCTATTAATTACAAAATAACTATATTAACCCTCACTTCTTACGTGACACATATAAAATAAATAGAGCTCAAGTAATTAAAGGAAAAGGAACACAAGTCATTTCTTTCTCTTTTTCCTTTTTCTAACATTCTATCTTGTCTATTTTTTTAGACAACCATGAGATTTGATTTTTTTTTTTGTAAATGATCGTAAAGTAAATGTTGTCTATCTTTTTTATTGGGTTAATTACATTTATCTCCCCTGAGATTTGATCATATTACCAATCAATCCCTGTAATTTGTTCAAATAACGGTCTTACCCTTTGAATGATCAAATATTTAACAAAAATTCCCTTAATGCCGAAAATGTCATTTTTGAGACCATATTGCATTAAAAAAAGAACATATTTTTATTTATTAACCTTCAAGTAATCCAAAAAAATAGAAAAAAGTTTTTGCTTATTATTTTATAAAAATAATATCTTTGCTTCCATAAATAGTTTTGAATCAATAATTATTTTAAATTTTAAAATGAATATTAAAAATTAAATAAATTGAAAGAAAAATAAAAAAGAAGCAATTATTTTAAATCCTCAAGTATGGTTCTAATTTGTGGTTCAAGCCATGTTGCGAAGAGCACAGGGCATGTTTTCCTCAATTTGAACCATACTTCAGGAATTAAAATAATTTCTTCTTTTTTTATTGTTCTTTCAATTTATCTAATTTTTAATATTTATTTTTAAGATTTAAAATAATTATTGATTCAAAACTATTTATAGAAGCAAAGATATGATTTTTATAAAATAATAAGCAAAAATTTTTTTCTATTTTTTTGGATTGTTTCAGGGTTAATAAAATAAAAATATGTTCTTTTTTTAATGCAACATGGCCTCAATAAGGGCATTTTCAACATTAAGGGGGTTTTTGTTAATTGTTTGATCATTCAAAGGGTGAGACTGTTATTTAGATAAATTACAGGGATTGATTGGTAATATGATCAAACCTCAGGGGAGGTAAATGCAATTAATCCTTTTTTATTTGAGTGATTGTCATAGAGTACTGTATGATTTTTTTGGTTATTTTGATTTGATTTTTATAGCAATTTAGTATAATTTAAAGGCTTGAATCATGAGTTGAGAAGAAGTTGAAAAAAAAAAAACAAGATTCATAAAAAATTAGTTTTGATTATATAAAGTTGAACTGGTGCTAATATATTTATTTATAAGTATATTTTTGTTTCAATTTTGTAATTTTACGAGCTATGACTTTATGTTATGGTGGTAGTACATGACAATTGTTTTTTAGATGGTGACTTTTAAGAGTACTTTTGTTTAGCAAAAAGAGCAAAAGGATAGTTTAGGATTTTTTAAAAATTTTATTATGCAAATAGCAAAAGTGCAGGAAGTAAGTGATATTTTCAAAACTTTAGAAGATACTAAGTGATATTAAGAAAAACTTTGGGGAAGATTTCTGATATTATCCCTAAAAAAATAGTGTGGGATGTCTCAATTACAGAAACTTTTCTTCGTTCCAAGCATCATAAAATACAAGTTGTTTTTATGGTGGTTGATGAAATGACCCCTTACCAGGTTGTTTGTCCACTTTAGTACAGGTGCCTGCATGTTTGTATCTACCTGCCTTTTCGAAAGCGCCCTTTACCTTGAGGAGAAACCGACCAATCGTAAGCTCCCATTCTTCTCCTATTTGGGAGTATGATAATAATATTAAAAAACTCCACATATGCTTAAAGTGTTAGGGAAGAAAGAGCCGAGATGGAGGGATTGATGGGATTGCACTCAAATATGCTGTTGACCATTATTGTTCCGTGGGTTTGACCACACAATTATATATATATATATATATATATATATATATATATATATATATATATATATATATATATTGGCTTCTTCAGGTTAGAGAACTTAAATAACCCCAAATTTAGGAGCACAAACCGCACTAATTTAATCCTTTGTTTGGATTACACCTTATTTACACACACAATAATTTATTTATATCATTAATATATTTTTTAATTATTTTTTTATTTCGCATACATCACATCAAAAAAATGTTATAATATTTTTTTGCAAAATTGTCTCAAATAATTTGAAAAGATCTTTGATCAGAGCTGCCCATCTGCACCATATGCTGGCAATCGCTAGAAGAAACATTTCTCTTAACACAATTCTTTGAGGTACATCGTAGATAACATACAGAAAAGTCAGGATTAGCTGAGACAAATTC